TTCAGTGCAACCTATGTACTGATGTTTTTAATATATACAATAGTTACCAATTCAAAAAAAAATTATACAACAAGTTAAAAGCATATTATGCTTTTGAAGACCATCGTCACAGATGAAAGGTTGTAATGGTTTTTTGAGTTGACTGGGGCAATAAATGGTCATCTCAGCTTAAGTTTTAACGTTGATATGTTATTATGCTCAGGAGCTTATTCCTTGACTTAATGATCTTATTTCCCACTTCATGAGTTGTTTGGGTTTCTATCTTAATGTTGATCCTCCTTTGGTTTATTGTGTCTGACTGTCCATCATAATTTTTATTTCTATTTCTTCCCTCCAGCATTAATGGTGACAAATTCAATTCTTTAATAGTTGCGTTGAATAACAGTTATCTTATCGCTGCTTGTATTTGCCCTCTTTCAACGCCTCATGATAGTATTTGAACGAATAACAAAGCCTTAAAAGATGTTTCTACCTTTTTATTAAACTTTAAAGCATGTCATTCAATATTTGTTTACCTTCCACCTCTGCTTGGAGAGAATTTAAACAATTATGAGACAATGATAAGCGTGCCATTCCATGTGTGTGCTCTATATGAATTATGATGAATATAAACAACTTATATTTTAAGATTCTCATCCGCTGTCTGTTTCAAATTTTGATCTAAATAAATGTTATCAAGTAGCTTTTACATGACCTCCTAGAAGAGGGTGATGATGAGAACCTTTTATTATTTATTACTTATTCATAGGGTATGGGCAGAAATGATTTTGCTTCATTGAGTTTATTAATCTGCTCTAATTTTTGGTAACCCAAAGTAATTTTGTTACTGCTATTTTTGTTTGGATCGTAATGCAAAAATGAAGGATGACGAAAGAAAATTTTAGAAGCTGGGTTGAGGAGCAAAGATACTAGGCTACAGTGCAGAATATCCTCCCTTACATAAAAATGTGAATGATTACTGAAGTTTGTTAATTCCTTATCAAAAAGAATTACTGAAGCTTGTTAATTTCTACTCTATATCAGTCAGAACTCCATGAAAAAGCCTTGCGCGTCGCACAATGATTAGGATGCAGTGTTTCTATAGTTTTCTGTGGATCCACTTACCAATACTTATTCAACTTGAAATGTTGATAGTTTTCATACCTCTTTATCCCTCTTTTCTATACATCTATAATTAATTTCCATATGCTTATTTTCTTATCTTTGTGTTATGTGCCAGGTTCATCCTGAAGGAAAATATGTTGTTGATATTGATAAGAATATTGACATTACAAAGATTACTCCATTAACCAGAGTAGCCCTCCGCAATGACATCTATGTTCTCCATCTAATTTTGCCCAGCAAAGTGGATCCTTTGGTCAACCTAATGAAAGTTGAGAAAGTGCCTGATTCCACTTATGACATGATTGGTGGCCTTGACCAGCAAATTAAAGAGATTAAGGAGGTTTTGCCTTCATTGTGTTATTGCGTTTAGTTAGTTTTATGATCTATCCTGAGACCTTGGTCTTTGATGCATTGTACATTTGTGTAACCTTTTTGAACTTTGGCCTTTTATGCATTAGGTTATTGAGCTTCCCATTAAACATCCTGAGCTGTTTGAGTCTCTTGGAATAGCTCAACCTAAGGTATATTCAGTTATTCACCATATACCATGTTTTCTCCATTTCTTCCATCAGTATTTAAGCATAACAGTGGTTGGACAAATTTATGTGTGCTTATTCTATCTCCTCCTTTTCTAATGAAGGGAGTGCTTCTTTACGGGCCTCCAGGTACTGGAAAAACATTGTTGGCGAGGGCAGTTGCACATCATACTGATTGTACCTTCATTCGGGTCTCTGGTTCTGAGTTGGTGCAGAAATATATTGGAGAAGGTTCTCGTATGGTGCGAGAACTCTTTGTTATGGCCAGGTTAAGTTTCATTGTAGCTTGAGTACTCAACACATATGTATCTCTAATGTCCACAACTTTTATTACATAATCAGTTCTGTCATGCATCTTTCTGATCTTATTACATCCAAATCATTGGACAGCCATTTCTAGCTCACTATGTTGAGCTGCTAAGGTCAAATTTGATCCTTACATTGGGTTAGCCTATGATATATTACTGCAATTTGTTAATTTTTGTGGGCGACAGAGAAAAAGGGAGGGTTTTTTGCAGTAGGCAGCATGAATATTCATGTATTAGGTGTGCCTATTTGCAGATGTGCTTTTTCATTCTTTCATTATTCGTGATTGATATGGATGAAATGCACAAGTATGCCAGCTTGAAGATTTTAAGAAGAAGGCTTCTTGTATTTCTGTGTGTATTTTTACATCCCATGAGAATAGGTATTTATACAATAAGTCCTAAGACTAAATAAGGAAAGACAATCAATTACAATTAATTATAGTGAAGGAAATATTCTAGAATCAATCTACTCCTACAATTGAGCTAGGAAATCTCTAATTAATCAACACCCTTCCTCGAGTTGGTGCAAAGATATCGCACATGCCCAACTTGCAAACCAGTGTTTGAAAAGTCCGTTTGTTGAGACCTTTGGTAAACATATCAGCTAGCTGCTTTTCTGATAACACATGGAACGAACTTAAGATGCCACTTGTAACTTTTTCTTTGATCAAATGTCAATCAATCTCAACTTGCTTTGCTCGATCATACTGGATTGGATTATGAGCTATACTAATTGCAGCCTTGTTATCACTAAATAAGGAAAGTTTCCCGTTTTCAGACAATCTCAATTCCTCTAGCAGTTTTTGTAACCACAAAAGTTCACAGACACCCTAGGCCATTTGTGCTCCATGAATAAGAATTCATGGATGTCTAATATCTGAAACTATCTTGTTGCTTGAAAGTTGGGGCATGAAGCTTGTAATACCATAAAAACTGCTAACTTTATAAAACTTCCCAAAAAACTGCTGGACATTCCTATTCTGGAGAAGTAGGTAAAATTATTTGAACAATTTTTGCTTTTTCTGTTTTGGGTCTATGGACCTCAGTGCTTCATTTTCGCTCTCTTGTTATACAGTTAGCTTTAGAAAAGCCTGGTCTTGAATGTATTTCAGGGAACATGCTCCTTCTATCATTTTTATGGATGAAATAGACAGTATCGGATCTGCTAGAATGGAATCAGGAAGTGGCAACGGTGATAGTGAAGTGCAGAGGACAATGTTGGAGCTTCTTAATCAGCTCGATGGATTTGAGGCATCAAACAAAATTAAGGCAAGTTTTGTCAATCTGGATCACTTGCATGTTGCCTAGTTTACAAGTGTATTATTCTGAGATTGCTAAGCTGAAAAAGAAGGGTCCTGGCTACAGGTTTTGATGGCTACAAACCGTATAGATATTCTGGATCAAGCACTCCTGAGACCAGGAAGGATTGATAGGAAGATCGAATTTCCAAATCCCAATGAAGAGGTATGGTTCCTCATAGCTTGTAAGACAGTAAGATGTTAACATGAGTATGCATTGGTTTCATATACTGTTACTCGGTTCATGGTTCTCAGGTCTTCCCTTTGTGATTGCTTACTTTTCTTGTTTTTTCATTACTCCTGCTGGTCTTTTTAATCTGTGGCTTTACCCAAAACCTTAAACGACAGACAAAAAGGACGGAAGGGAGTATAGTACAAGAGGTGTTTAAACATGATTGAAAGGATGCGGCAATATCTACCTCTCTGCTTCCTCACAGAGCTGCATGCCTTCTATCGTTATTTCTATAACCCTCTGATGATTCATCTTAGTCATTTATGTTCTCATTATTCTGCAGTCCCGTTTCGACATATTGAAGATTCATTCCAGGAAGATGAACTTGATGCGAGGGATTGACTTGAAGAAAATTGCTGAGAAGATGAATGGCGCTTCTGGGGCAGAACTTAAGGTGTGCAGCGATTAAATGTCTTTTTGGCTTTAATTGATATCTGACATATCCTTTTAATGTGCACTTTGATTGCTTGAGAGCATGCTTAGTTTAGCGGTTGAACTTGTGATCTAGCATGTGAGAGACTTGTGTGACTTCTACTTTGATTGTGCCATCTGACGCTTCGCTTGCTTATATTTTGCCATGCCTTTGATGCATCTTATGATCTGTTTACAGGCTGTGTGTACAGAAGCAGGAATGTTTGCTCTAAGGGAGAGGAGGGTACACGTGACACAAGAAGATTTTGAGATGGCAGTTGCCAAGGTAATGAAGAAGGAGACAGAGAAGAATATGTCTTTGCGAAAGCTGTGGAAGTAAATGAGGGGAGGATACCAATGGCAAAAATATTCTACTTATGGACGTTAGTGCATAAACTCTGCTCTAAACTTTTCTACTCAGTTGATATCGAATGTACAAAATTCGTGCTGACTGAATGTTTATACATATGGCACCAGGAGCTTCCTGAGCCAGGAGATATAGCAGCATTGCTTCTTGTTCTCTGGCTCGTTTAAGGATCTTCAATCTTCTGTTTGATTTTATCATGAGACTCGGAATACTCTATCTATTACCTGTCCTGTGCTGTTTACTCTCGCATTTCTGTATGTCGAGAGTATCAAATTCAGACCCACTCAAGTGTTTTGACTCATCTATAGTACTTCTTCAATATAAGTTCTTAATGTTTGTTGCTATTTCGATTATAAAGTTACTTTATACAACTCACAATTTCTGAGAGTTCGTTTAATCATCCAAATATTAAATATTGATTAGATGTGTTTTTCCTATCAAACAAGCTTTTCAACCTTTATGTTTTAACGGTTATTTTGATGTTTTGTTTCGTTATACCAATACAATAAACAAGTCCAATTAACGACTTGAATTCTGTATTTATCCTTGGCTGTTGAGGCTTTTCATTAATCAGGTCCATCTTTTGCTAATAATTGTGTAGATTTAATTGGGTAGTCCCCATCATGATGTTTAGTAAAGTAAATGAATGGGACTCTGCCCCTCGATTATGGATTCCTAGGATCACTTCATAGAAGGTCCTACTATGGAAGTGTGACGGCTATTGGCGTATGAAAAAGATGAGATTTTTGACTAAATAGACTAAAGCTAAAGTAGGCATGTATATTAAAAAAAAATATGCAAGGGAAAGCAGTAAATGCTTGAAATGTAATGAGAATAACAGTCCTAATCCAATTAACAAAAAGGTAACCTAATGATCAGACATATTGGTATATGTTATGAATGTTGCTATTCTTATATATAAGTGCTTGTCCATTTAATAACTACTACTAGATTTTGGATACGCATGTTGTATGTACCTTGTATTAATGAATACAGACTATAAAAACTGTATAAATTTTATTAAAGATTTGTTTTAGTTATTAAAAAAATAAAGGAAAATGCAACTTCTTAGAATGTATATCGAATTGCTACATGGAGTTCTGATTACTCTATTAAAGTAAAATAAAATCTTCTCTTTAACAATTAATACTATAAGTATACTGTTAGATATGTTAGTTATTAAGGTTTATAATAGTAGAAGAAGGGTGAAAATAAGGCCTAAATATAACTGCTTTATTTATTACTATGTATTTTTAGTAGTTACCTTGCTACTTAGGTAGTTATTTTGTGTTATATTTGCATTAAGAAGAAGGGAAGGCTGACAATTGATTTGGTAGAATTTTCTCTGACAGATTTTGAGGATAAGATTCTTCGAAATACCTTCGTTATTAGGCGTATTAATATTCTAACTTGTAGAACTCATTCTATTATTAAAGTGTTGTTCTTAATTGAAAATTCACTAATTAAAGTTAGGAAAAATTTTGATTTCTCAACATTTTTTTGTATCAGAGCCTTCGTGGTTTCAACCAGAATAGAGGGAAGGATAGGGTTGGAGAACAAAATGAATGAAGTATGTCACGATTCAAAAATCTCACCAAAGATCGTGATGGCACCTAACACGCGAGCTAGGTGAACCATGACTAGTACTATTACTAAATACTCAACTACAGTGGAGATAACTTTAATAATTCTTAAATATAATCATAACATAGACAATAAAGTCGAAACTAAAGTAGAAATATCGACACAACATACAACCCCCAGAACTAGTGTCACTGAGTACTTGAGCTCTAATGAGTGATAAATACAAATCTGAAATAAATACAGTACTGTCTGAATCAAATAAACATGAATGAAGATAGTGGAAAGGTAACTTCAAGGTTTTGTACCTCTCAAGTACAAAGAAGAGAGATAAAACAAAAGCACTCCGCTAAATTTTTTCACAAAACTAGCGAAAGCGTTCTTCAAATTCACGTGAGAAGAATGTAAGATGAAAAGAACCTTAACTACTCGTTCCTCAATCCCGCAAGATTGTAAGAAGCGTCGAATAAAGAAAAAAGTACGAAATAAAAGATCAATCACATTTTTGAAGCAAAAGCTTAGAACAACTAATCGCCAATATTTATTTTCAGTATATTGAGCCCTTTAAATAGCCCTTACAATGAGTAAAATTGATAAGGTTAAGGAAAATTAATCCTAATTAAACTAGAATAAGAATAAGGCTAAAAAAGTCTATCCTAACTAACATAGAAAAAAAGAATTCTAGTAGGAATGGACTATCAGCTAGCAATCCTAGTTTGACTAGAACTATAAATATAATCTTACTAAAATAAGAATTAGGAAATCCTAATATTTAAGAAAAGGAAATTCAAATCTTGAAGGAAAAGAAGACCTAATCTTGAATGGATTCTTGGACTTTTCTTGAGATTCTTGGCCTCAATTGATCTAAGACTAATTAGTATAAGCATTTTAAATTTATGGCCTAACTTTTCAAATTCATTGGCACCTTTATGAGCCCAATAAGCCTCCACTGTTGTAGAAAATGTAGCCTCCACTTGTGCTTCTCTAGCATCATGTTTTGATTTGTATATTCATCATTTTCTCCTGGTTGAAAAGGACCCGGCCTCGAGTCATCGAAATAGTAGGGAGAAAGATATGCTACATTGAAGATAGGTGATATTTAAAGTCATTGGGAAGCTCCAAGAAATAAGCATTATCACCAATATTTTACAGCTCCTTAAAAGGTCCATCAACTCGCTTTTGTAATTTCGAAAACATGCGGTTTAGAAGTCTCTCCATACTCATATGAACCTAAACCAGGTCGCTTTCCTTGAACACCATATGTTTCGTATGCGTATTAGTCTTTTCTTTGTATTTAGCATTTTGCTTCTCGATATGTGCCCAAACTTTCTCATGTAGTCTCTTGAGTTGCTTCACTTGATCAGAAGTATCTCCACTAAAAGAATGCGTAACTAAAAGAGGAGAAAGATCAAGTGGTCCTAGAGGTTTCTTACCATAGATGCCTTTGAATGGGCTATTTTCCTTAGTGCAGTTAGTTGACTTGTTGAAAACAAACTCAATAGTAGGAAGTGACGATTCCAACTCTTTGAGATTCTTCTTTATTAATCAATGAAGCAAAGCACCTAAACTTCGATGGTCAACTTCAGTTTGCCCATCAGTTTGGGGATAATGAAAAGTGCTATGTGTTAGCTTAGTACCAAGTTTAGCCCATAAAGTCCTCCAGAAATGACCTAGGAACCTCAAATCCTTATCTGAAATAGTGGTTTTGGGTATTCCATGCAATTTCACAATATTATCAAAGAAGAGATCATCAATATTTGTTGCATCCGAGGTCTTATCGCAAAGGAATAGAGCGAGCCATCTTCGAAAATCTATCTACAACAATGAAGATGAAATCCTTACCCCTTTGAGTCCTTGGAAGGACTAACCCAAATTCCATGAAGGTTGAGTAGGAATTATCAGAGGAGACGCGAATTGCATTTGTGCATTTTTTGTCTTTATACAAGTTTCACATCTTTCAACCAGTTTATTGACATCCCGAATCTCTTAGGCCAATAGAAGTTTTCTTGAACTAGGTGTAGAGTCTTTGGTTTCCCAAAGTGTCCAGCTAACCCTCCCTTATGGGACTCACAGATTATAAATTCACGCAAACTCCCTTGTGGAATACAAATCTATTGACCATAATAAAGATAGCCATCCCTAAGCACAAATATACGCTGATGTAATGACCCGACTAGTTATTTTGAGTATTTTAGCCCCATTCCCCCATTTATTTCCTCCTCTATTTCGTATCGTGGTTATGTGACTTGCCGGGGGTGTTTGGTTTTGGTTCGGGTGAGTTTCAGAGTGAAATGAGATACTTAGTCCCAAAATTGGAAATTTAAGTTGAAAGAATTGATCGTAGTTTGACTTTCGTATAGACGACTCCGAAATGGTAATTTTAGACTTAGGAGCATGTCCAGATATTAATTTGGAGGTCCGTAGATCGTTTTCGCCTTGAATTGGCGAAAGTTAGAAAGTTGAGGTTTGGAAGGTTGAGAAGTTTGAGAAGAAGTTGACTTTATTGATATGGGGGTCGGATTCTAATTCTGATTCCGAAAGTTGGAATAGGCCCGTCATGTCATTTATGACTTGTATGCAAAATTTGAGGTCAATCAGAGTTATTTTGGTATGATTCGACGTTAGTTTTGGAAGTAGGATGTTAATAGTTTCAATAGCCTTGAATGGGGTTGCGATTCGTAGAATCGATGTTGTTTGACATGATTTTTGGCCTCGAGTAGGTCCGTCAGGTATTCTGGAACTTGTTGGTATATTCAGACGGGGTCTAGGGGCCCTCGGGTGTGAATAGGATTGGAAATTGGGCTAAGTTTGGACTTAGTTGTTTGTTGAGGGATTGTTGTTCTCGTGTCACCGCACCTGCAGTGGAATGGCCACAGGTGCGGACTCGCTTGTGCGAGAGAAGCATCGCAAAAGTGGAAAGGGCTATGCATACCTAAGGTCGCAGAAGCGGACGCACAGGTGCACGTTATTCCCCGTAGAAGCGAACTTGCCTGGTCTTAGTGGGAACTGCACCTGTGATAGATTATTCCGCAGGTGCGGGGTCGTAGGTGTGATAGTTTGACCGCAGAAGCAGATATCGCTGGGAAGAAAAGGCTAGAGACGAGGGTTTATTTCATTTTTCATCTTGACTTTTTCAGTTGACTTTTTCAGTTGACTTTTTGTTTCTCTTTAAAGATTGAAACTTTATTGTTCAGAATAGCTTTCTATAGTTTGTATTTATGGTATGAAGTTGTTTTGGCTAGATTCGAGCCGTTCGAAGTTGGATAATCGCAGGAAAGGCTTACTAGTGGATTGAGTTAGCGTATTTTGAGGTAAGTGTATTGTATAACTTTGTGTGAGGGAATTACCCCTTAAGATTGGTGTTGTTTTGTGTTAATTATGATAGGTGAAAGTTGTGTACACAATGTGATGAGTGTGTACACAGGCTAAATGTTGTAGTTGACCGGTTTTAGCTATGAATATTCTTTCCACGCCTTTAATTGAGTTGCCATAAAATGTTATATTCACCATCATTAGTCTACCTTCACATACTTTACTTGACATCGTTAACACTTGTCTTATCTCTTACTTGCTAATTGTCTTTACATGTTTAGTTGAAGTTATTGTTTTCTCAATTCCTTATTCATTATTTAATGTTGAGTCTCTTTACTTGAAGTTGTTATTTCTTGAAATATCTTATTATTGAATTTGGTGTTGAATTTATAATGGCCATGATTCACATTGAGGCAAAGTTGTAAATTTGTTTAAATACCATTCTTGTTGAGCTATTCACTTTCGATTGCTATTGTTT